TCTTCTTCTGCCCCAGAACCTGCAAACTTTCCACTTGGAGAAGTAAGCATTCAATTATGCTATATATATAGCCATAAACAACTTATTTTTGTCTTACATATAGGGTTTTATGTTATCTTATCATAAAGTTTACTCATCTATCTTGACGAATATTTGTTGCAACAATTATATTCAAATTATATTAGGGTCTTTAAATGACCAGTATTGCTTGCTTCCTTAGCTGTCGAGCTAGCGTTTATTGCTCAATAATTTTATGTTTATTTCATTATTTTATGTAATTTTATTATTATATTTTATGGATATAATTTCTTTTTTGGTTTATATTTGAAGGTGATACAAAACGATCTAAAAGCTAGTTCGATGCAACAGGGAAATCCAGCCCATCCTGATTTGCCCATCCTTGCTGATAAGAAGAGCTTAATAGGCTCCTCCAATGCTTTTCAGTCTTCTGGCCAAGAGGAACTATGTAAAGATTTGACTCCTGTCTTGGGCAACGGAAAACCGAGTCGTATTACCAATATCTGCAAAGAAAATGATTCTGTCTTGGTCTCTATTGCTACAGAAATTTCCCCTGAATCATCTGCGAATTGGAAAGTGAATGCAAACAAAGTACTACCAACTAGATTGAGCCCTAGATTTGGGCATGCTAAGTTAATTTCTCCAAATATTTCACATTCGTTGGAGGATAAGGTGAATTTTTAATTATTTTATCTGCGTATGGCTCTATTCCGGTTGACTAAATTTACTTTTCAATTTTTATTCGCATTTTATAATGAATTAATTTGCGGGAAAAGGATTTTTTTAAACTGACTCAATCATATCTAAGAGGATATGCTGAATTCCTTATATTTTGTTCTTTTTATTGGAATTGGTTTGAGCTCGTCTTCAAAACTTGGCCGGTATGATAGACAGACATTGCAGAAAGTTCCTTGTCATAATATTCATGATTAATTTAAGCATAGGAGCTTTGGCTTGACACATTGCCGAGCGCTTCGCCGGCATTAAAACTGAGAGGCCTCCGCTTAGAAATTAGTCAAAACTCGTCAAGGTGACAACTAAGGGTATGACTCCATCACTTTTCTCCTTAATACTTAGGGCATCTTTCCTATTCCCCTTTTATTAGTTCCCTAATTCTGCATCCTCCTTCAATCCCATTTAAAATGGCCAATATTCTTATCTATTCATTATCTTTTGTTCCAATAACAATTGGAACTTGTTTTAATACAGCGTGCTCATTTTTAACTTTATTCTTGAGGATAGCTTACCCTTCTGAGCAGTCACAATTTTTCCATTTAGATTTCAAGTTGGAAACATCCTCATTATTTTTCAATATAATCGAACTTATTTAATGTTCCTTATAAAATGAGGCTTTATATATACCATATTATCTTGATATTTACATATCTATTGCGAGAGAATTGATTTTCTCTCGTCTTCGCAACTCAATCCTGTTTTCAATGGGATTTCGAGGAACATATTCCGTTTTTGTGTTCTTGTGATCTTCAAGTATTTAATGAGAGTACATTCTAAAAAATTTCACCGGCACCCACTGAAACCATTATTTTCATCCGTGTATATTTCCCCAGGTTGACCACTTCCGCCAGCCTTTCGGAGTTGGTTCTCTGGTTTGACCCTTCTTAATGAAAGCATCTTTTGACTATCTTGTCCCTCAAGAATCGCCTCTTGCCTTTGATTTTTCCTACTTCTCTAATGATGTTCTTGATTCAGGTTTCTCATTTTTGTTTTAATTCTAAATCATGAATTTATCCAAGCTTGCTTAAATTAGCGAAAGTTTCACCAACTCTTGCCTTTTTTAAACTACTTGTCATTACTTTCCTTTTTACGAGCATGTCAACCTTCAGATAGAGTAAGTTTATAGAGTACAAGTCGATCTGGAGTCAGAACTATATTCACTATAGGTCTCAGGTTATAAAGGATTTATAGTTGAATCCTTCCACATTCCTGTGAGTAGGCCCCACGATGCCATTGAATTTTTACTTGACAATATTCAGCGGGTTCGAAACTACAATCTTTACATTTTGGAAGGCAGGACCAGGTGAAATTCACTGGTATCGTGAGGCCTACTTATGCTATTATGGAAAAAATTAAATTCTTATTACTTATCACCTTATTGGACCCAGGGTGAATACATTTTTTGTTCCAAAATATTTCTTGGCTTCTCTCATCTTCCCCATATATCTTACTTGAGCTTTTGGAAAAGACCTGATTACACATTTTTATTATGAGCATTTTTTGTTCGCCACTTAGTCATCCTTTATCATATATAATCCTTCATTTATTGCTTATAAATAGACTTAACTAAGATTTCTTTTTACTACGTGTATTTGGCCATAATTTTTGTTTCCCGAATTAGTTATCTTCTCTATAAACTTTCATGTTTACATAGTTATGGGAAATTTTGAGTTCAAAAGCAACCTTATCCTTCGCTTTGCATAATTTATTGGTCTAAGTCCTAAAACATCTTAAAAACAAAAAAATATAAGATTAGTTCGGCCTATTTCTGGACTCTGGATTTGCTTTACTAATTATATTATGGATCTCTTGTATTGTTTTAATATTTGTAAGTCGTGCTATTACCGATAATTTTCAGCATTTTTCACTAGGGGCTAATGATTCCGGTTTGATCTCAAGCAATCTTTTTTTGCAGATTTATCCATAATTTTTATCCCATACACTTTATGCATTCACGTTAACCTTCACCCCGCCGAGTTCAGTCTACTGCTACTACTACGAGTTACAAACCTCCAGCTAGCTCTTATGGACTTAAGCCTAGGTCAGTGCCGGCCCATTCTCCTTCTTCATTTATGCCTCCTGAGAGTCCGCCAAAATCCAATCTTGCTCCTGGTGGTCTTAAAGAAATGAAAATTGATGTTCGTCCAGGAGCACGCGACAAGAAAAATCTAAATCAAAGTATGACGATTACGCCTAGCCTGCGTAAATCATGTCATACCGGCAGCAATAGCTCATCAGATCAGCATGAATCTTTTCCGCCACCCCTACCTCCACATTCGTCCTCACGTGGGTCTCGTGTTGAGAATCAATTAAGTTCAGCGTCTGCTAACTACTCTGGCCGATATCCTGTTTTCCACCATCCGCTCCATTCAAATAGCGCTGCCTCTGAATCTTCTTATCTGCTCACGGAATCTTTCTGGCCGCAGGCATCCTGGCCCACGCCTACTCTTGGAATGCTGCCCTCAATGTCCACTGCTGCCGTAGAGGCTGTGGTCGATGACTTCGAATCCTGCAAGCAGTTTCAACAACAACGTACACGACATCCTTCACGCCAGATGGTTGGGCATGTACAGCCATCTCCACCTCCTCTGCCACCACACGGTCAGCCTCTCGCTCTCAGCCCCGAATCTAAATCATGCTTGAACTCCAATCCAATCTACTTGGGCTCCATACCGGTATCCGCTCAATTATCTTCCACATCTTCGCAATACCAGCAGCTTCAACAGCATCTGGCCATAAACCCTTCTGGTGCCCGCCTGCCCACAATGCTACCTCCCGCTGTTCCGCCTCACTCCGTCTCACGAGCCAGCTCTTCACATCGGCAAACTTCTGCTGGCAGCGTTTCCGGTCGACAGCCCTATGCCAATGCAGCTGATACTCGACTTTTGGCACTGGCTTCAAGGGAATACGCACAGGGTCACGGGCCTTGTCAGGTTGGGACGGGGGGAGCAGTCAGCGCTTCTGATGACAGCCTTCTTATGGTATACCGACGTTCTGCGCCCCAACAGTCGACTCACCAGTATCAACCAAAAATGCAGCTTGAAAGATCTGTAGGCGAGCATCTCCCACCTCCAGTGCCATTGCATTTAGGTGCTGCAGCTGCTCCTGCTATCCCATCATCTTCTACAGGTTCCGTGTCCACTTCTTCATCCACAGTTTCCACTGCTGTGAATTGTCCCAAAGCCAACTTTCTGACGGGACAAGTATCGCAAGGGCGAACAGGACAGTCGAGATTTGCAGGCACTTTGGCGAACCACTTTTCTTCCCATCAATTAACCTCTGCCAACTCTCAGGTTAATCTTTCCCTAAATGAGTTTATTATTGTCTTCAGCTGGCTAAATGAATATATTTGGACTAGAGATCTTATTCAATAGCAAGTTTCCTAAAATATTGGCCAGTGTAAATGTTGTCTCTAGTTGAGGAAAGTTTAGTATCACTGGGAATCTGACTATAAGTTGAATGAAAATAACTTTAATGGGCTTTTTCTGGTCCAAAGCATCAGATAACAGCATAACCCGTTCTTGCTTTTCGTGGACTCCAATTAATTATGTCATAAGCAACTTATTACACAATATTATTTTATTGATCTCCACCATAATTTCTCAACTAGATTAAAATCCGCCAATAAGAATAAATTTAGTGAATCCTGGAGTAAAGAATACCATCATGACTCTTAGGACTTGCTAATTTTTCTACGGAGTATTTTTTTTGATGGCCTAAATTTAGAAACTTTTAAAACTTTAAGTCTTAATTAACTCTTTTTCTAATAATTCTCAATTTAGATATCTATACGTATCACGAAAGGTGTATTAAACCAGACTATATTTTTGTATCGGTTTTAAGGCGTTTTGAAATTTATAATTTAGTAACTACATTTCTGAAGTTATCTGTCCCATCAAGTTTGTCCATAGTTTTCTTAATAAGTGTTTAAGGTCCTTTTAGTCTGAAACACGTTGCTTAAATCATAGACTATCTTGGTATAATTCGTAGCATTATTGGATCAAGTTTTACGACATATTATTTCAAATTATTATATTTTCTACTTTAAATTCGTTTGAAAGTATATGCTGAAGGGATTCTTTGTTTACTTGATAGTTTCAGTGAATTTATCCGTTTTGCTGTTGTTTGCGTTTTCTTTAATGTTCAGGCTAGTTCGGTGCCAATTAAGCGATATATTCTCGAATAATTAAATCATATAAATGTATTTCTTATTAAGCAATGTTATAAACCGAGTCACATGCTTCGTCAAGAACAACACCTGCTTTTGGATCCCGTCAGAGGTGCTGATGAGATCTGTGCGAAATCAAAGTTTTATTTTTTTTAATAATAAGGCGTTTTAGGAGGATAGACAGTAAAATTCAAATATATAGGGAGGCCTTCTACTCGTATCCTTCTGGAAATTTCGATTATTAGTCTCCATATAACATATAACTCGTACTTTAGTTAAAAACGAAAAAAAAATTCTTATTTTTAAAATACAACAATTATAAAAGTCATTCTTCCATACAACTAGCAATTTGAGAGTCATTAGAAATTCTTCTATTAATCTTTAATAAAGTCTGATTATAGATGTGATGATCAAGATGGTGTAGCTTTGCGTTTTTTCTCAATGTTTTTTCTCTGTGTAGTATCAGTTCAATTTCGACTTTGGTTTAAGCAACAGAGACTTTGTTTTCCATGCAGTCATTACCAAAGATGAGAGACATCCTAGATCTTATTGTTTGTCTATTCGTGAAAATTATAAAAAATAGAAATCATTGCTATTAATGGATAGCATAAATGATCCTATATACTTAAGTCTCCCTATTTATATATCTATATCTATATCTAATAAATATACGTATTCTTATAAATACATTTTCTAATAAATACATATCCCTTTTCACAGTTATCATATACCTCGCCTGCTCATGACGCATTTCTAAGTGGTCATGGATTCTCAGTATTCTGCGGTCCCGCCGACTCGACACATTCGGTTTCCATGTCTCTGCCAGACGCGGCTGCTATGCTTAGCTCTGATGAAGGCCATCCGGTAGAAGGCACTTTTGAGATATCCGTCTGACCCAAGGAACCCATCAGTTTCTACTTTAGACCATGTTTTTTTTACATCTCTGCTGTTTACTCTGCATCTCGGCACATACTTTACACCAATCTTAGTAAGGGATCTTTGTAGATACTAGCTGGTCCCAATCTGGCATTCTAATCGCTCTATTCTTGCGGGCATTCAGACAGTATATCAGCTATCTTTCTTGTTCGCGATATCTTTGTCGCGCTTCTTGCATCATTAACTAAATGTTAGCAAACTTTTATCTTTTTGTAGCTAAGCTGCCCAGTGTATTTTTATAGTATTGCTCCAAAGAGATAGCGATTGCTTGAAAACAATGTAAATAAAGGGTAAAGATGAAAATCAGTAAATTTTAGATGAGTCAGGGAACACCAGCTATGACAAGCAGCTGGATCTTTTACATATCGGAATCCTTACCAATTGGTCTAATAATTTTTAATTCCCACATTTCACCCTGCTTTACTTTGGCGATTTATCGTTTTTTCCAGCGTCAATTCATAAAAGTTCTGAAGTGAGCTGCAAGCATTTACTGCAGCTCATTTGAATTTTTGCAGCTCGGCAACTTGCAATTTTTATAGCTAAACTTTATCTTAATCACTTTTGATGAAATCGTTATCCTCCATTTTTC